ACATCACCACCACCAAATCATCGCTACCAGATCCAGTCGACTGTCAACAAAAACCACAACCACTATCGAATCTCCAGCCACCACCACCACCACTTTTGCACTACCACTACCACCATTAACAAACCATGTCACACCACAACCACCACCCAACAAAAAACCCCAAACTCGTCACCGCCACCACACCCCCACCAGTCGCGACGCCGCCGCCACCACCACAACTCCACTCCGCCATTGCGCGCACACACACACACACACCCCCCCATAGATCCACCACCCTAACAAAGATCAATTTGCAGATCGCCGTCGCAGTTGCAGATAGGCTGAGGCACCGGTGCAGATCGTGATGGGCTGAGATCAGTGAAATCGTACACAGTCGCAGATTGTGAAGAGGCTCCAGTCTGCTTCCGTGGTGGCGACGGCGCGACGTCCTCGAGATGGGCTGAGATTAACGGAGCAAATGCCATAGTTACTGGAGGTGGCTGTGGAGGACGTTTGATTAGTAGCGGTAGTCTACCGCTGCTTCTGTCTTCATCATCTCCTGCCACCAGTACCAAGGAATCAGAATCCAGTTATGACCCCTCAGACGGTGACGATAGTGGAGGCTGTGAGGTGAGTGAGGTAAGGTGAGGGGAGGGAAAGAGGGAAAATAGAGAGAAGAGAGAGGATATGGAAAATGATTAGAGTTTGGCACGAATTGGCTGGACTTTGATTTTGTAATATTAATAGTAATATTAAAATATATAATTATTACCTGACTTTTGATTAATTAAGGTTTACACCTGATTTATGAACAGTAAACTTCAAATACAGGCTACTGTGTAATTTTCCCTAAAGAAAATGTGTGTTTCGTTTGAATTGCATTTGACAATATGACAAAGGTTAACAATGCCAATGGGTTAAATCAGCTTTCTATTACGTAAGTGGACTTTTCCAATAATGAGTGATGGATGTGTAAATATTTAAATAGATAAGTGAGTAGTCAGTAACTTTTTTTATATTTAATCAGCACATAGTAACTTAGATAAAATTTAGTGGCTATTGATTTAATTAACTCACAACGGAGCCCAAACAAAGGCTAAGCTAAGAGGATCAACACCAAGAATGAAATATTAGAAATCATTTATACTCAAGAATTATATGTTAAGAACCATTGGTGTCGATTCGAATTTTGCGCGAGCACCATGAAAATTACACAATACTTCTGATGCATTGAGGGAATTAGCTAGGGTTGTAAATTGATTAGATATGGATCGGATCTGCCTATATCCGATCCGATCCGATTCGATAAGAAAATTATTCGATCCGATAATCCAACGGATATTTGATTGTTAAATCCATATCCGATTTACTATATTATCGGATATCCGATCTGATAATCTGATCCGAAATTAATAAAAATTAGGAAATAAAATCAACGTTCTTTAATATTTTTTGAACTAACTAGAGGCCCACATGTTTTTACTAGCAAGCCCAATAGTGACTTCTACCATCATGATACTCCTTTTTAAAGGAGAGATCATCTTCTAATTTTCTATTGACATTCGATGTGGGATAAGGTAAAATTGAATTTCAATTCAAAATATAAATATTTTATTTCATTATTTTCATTAACAAATTAAATTAATTGTTACGAATTAATTATTAATTTAATTATTAGTTTATGAAATTGTAAAATTAATTACAATAATAAAAATAATTAAGAAAAATATAGATATTTATTTACTTTAAATTAGCAAATTAAAATTAAAAAAGTCTATTGATTTTATAATATTTTATGTTTATGTTTATAGTTGTTTATTCAATTTGACATCGAACCGATTCGATCCCGATTCAATTTTTTGACTCTTGACCCTCTTCCTTTTCCGGGTCGATGTCCGGATCGATTTTTAAAATATTAGTTGAAATCAAATTTTTTTTTTTCAAATTTTCCAATTCTTAAACACATTTAATAATTATAAATTTTTCAATTTTTTATGTTTTGAATTTGATTTTTTTTCTAAATTTATTTATTTTGGTGACAAATAATATGGCATAAAAATATTTTATCGACTCAATTATTTATAACAAATCGGATCGGATTGTTATTGGATCAGATTGACCCATATCCATATTTGATCCATTTAGTTAACGGATTATCGGATTGAGACCCTAGATCCATCTTCCATTAATTTCGTCGAATTCGAATCAAAATCCAATCCATTGACAATCCTAGAATTAGTTCAATTGGACTCACTATCCCATGACTCCCATGTCGAATTTAATCTTTTAATTATGTTTATCATTTCCCCAAATTAATATTGGGATAATGAGGATAAAGACATCATTAATTAGAGAGAGATAGAGTTCATTGTGGTTAGGATTTGGGTACGGAGCCCAAACAAAGGCTAAGCTGAGAGGATCAACACCAAGAATGAAATATTAGAAATCATTTATGCTCAAGAATTATATGTTAAGAACCATTGGTGTCGATTCGAATTTTGCGCGAGCACCATGAAAATTACACAATACTTCTGGTGCATTGAGGGAATTAGCTAGGGTTGTAAATTGATTAGATATGGATCGGATCTGCCTATATCCGATCCGATCCGATCCAATAAGAAAATTATTCGATCCGATAATCCAACGGATATTTGATTGTTAAATCCATATCCGATTTACTACATTATCGGATATCCGATCTGATAATCCGATCCGAAATTAATAAAAATTAGGAAATAAAATCAATGTTCTTTAAAAATTTTTGAACTAACTAGAGGCCCACATGTTTTTACTAGCAAGCCCAATAGTGACTTCTACCATCATGATGCTCCTTTTTAAAGGAGAGATCATCTTCTAATTTTCTATTAACATTCGATGTGGGATAAAGTAAAATTGAATTCTAATCCTAAATATAAATATTTTATTTCATTTTTCCATTAACAAATCAAATTATTTGTTACATATTAATTATTAGTTTTTGAAGTTGTAAAATNAATTATTAGTTTATGAAATTGTAAAATTAATTACAATAATAAAAATAATTAAGAAAAATATAGATATTTATTTACTTTAAATTAGCAAATTAAAATTAAAAAAGTCTATTTCTTTTATAATATTTTATATTTATGTTTATAGTTATTTATTCAATTTGACATCGAACCGATTCGATCCCGATTCAATTTTTTTGACTCTTGACCCTCTTCTTTTTCCGGGTCAATGTCCGGATCGATTTTTCAAATATTGGTTGAAATCAATTTTTTTTTCAAATTTTCCAATTCTTAAACACATTTAATAATTATAAATTTTTCAAATTTTTATGTTTTGAATTTGATTTTTTTTTCTAAATTTATTTATTTTAGTGACAAATAATATGGCATAAAAATATTTTATCGACTCAATTATTTATAACAAATCGGATCGGATTGTTATTGGATCAGATTGACCTATATCCATATTTGATCCATTTAGTTAACGGATTATCGGATTGAGACCCAAGATTCATCTTCCATTAATTTCGTCGAATTCGGATCAAAATCCAATCCATTGACAATCCTAGAATTAGCTCAATTGGATTCACTATCCCATGACTCCCATGTCGAATTTAATCTTTTAATTATGTTTATCATTTCCCCAAATTAATATTGGGATAATGAGGATAAAGACATCATTAATTAGAGAGAGAGAGAGAGAGAGAGAGAGAGAGAGAGAGAGAGTGAGAGAGTGAGTTCATTGTGGTTAGGATTTGGGGCCTACAATTTCATCACGTACGTGAATCTTAAGTGGGCCCTCTTGCTTATTTATGAATTCAACTTCCTAAATTTTACAATGGCTGCATGGCATATATACATTTTTATGGGTAATTAGCACATTACGTCCTCATCTTTCATTGTTTTTGTGAAAAATATTCATACATTTCATTTTTTGACATTTTCACCATTTATTGTGCAAAAAGTCATTTTCACATATTTTCTTAATTAAAAATTATAAACTGACAAATATACTCTCATCTTTAAATAAAATAAAAAGAAAAAGAAAAAATTTAATTACAATCACAATTCCAATTTTTTTTTTTAAAAAGCGCAAATAAATTATTAAAATAGTAATTAACATATAATGTCCTTATCTTTCACCATTATTGCGAAAAACGTCCTTACTTTTCATTTTTTCAAGCATTTTCACGGTGAAAATGACATTTTCCACAATGAAATGTGAAAATAATGGTGAAAATGTCAAAAAATGAAAGGTATTGACGTTTTCCACAATAACAATGAAAGTTGAGGATGTTATGTACTAATTACCCATATTTTTATTCTAATATTCCATTAAATAATAATTTCCAATACATTCCTTTTACAACGATGTGAAATCTTGTTACTCATGACTCGTGGGAATTTTTTAATTTCTTTAATTTATTCTTGTAATCAAATTCTTGATATACAATCTTCAATTAAAAATTTTCACAATTAGTACTGCCTTATTATTTTATCAGCAGGTTAGTCCCCAATTTTTGTTATTATTGCTTAGTCTTTTTCTAACAATCTAACTTGGTTCTCATAAATTTGCGGACAAAGACAAGTTTAGAAGCGAAATATAGCTTTAATAGGAATTTAGACGGTTTTGTAGTTGTGGACGAACTGCACAAATAAAAAAAATTTGAGGGTCAAATTACTCCTTTTACAATAGGTTAAGGTTCAACAATCAAATTTTCTATTTCTATAAATTTTCTTGTAGCTGCTGCTCTGTCATTACTTTGTAATCCAGCCATTAATAAGGCCAGAGAGGGGTTCAGAAGATACTGCTTCTTTAGCTCACTAATCCACCCACCCCACTACTACCTTCCATTTCTTGAATCTTGAAATACCCCCCTACCCCACCCACGCAGTTAACTTCTAGACTAGTACTATAAAGTATAAACTCATATCCAGAACAGTCTCATTCTCATACAGAGATCTACAGAAAGAGAGAAATCCGTATAGAGAGAGAGAGAGAGAGGGTGGTCAAAGAATTCATAGTAGTTAGTCATGGCAGGTCCAATCCCACCACAGAACTGGAAAATATCGAAACTCTATTCAATCACTGCTGTATTCTTCCTTTCCTACTTCTCCTATCTTCTTGGCGTTTGGCAACACGACGGCGCCGCCACCTCTGGTCTTGGTGCAACCATAACTTGTATCTTGCCCCGAAACACCACAAACCCACAATTATCAACAAGAACCCCACTAGACTTCACCTCCCACCACTCAGCCGACGAAAGAGGCGCCACAACTTTCCCCGACGAAACCCTCAAGAAATACCCACCTTGTTCTATAAAATACAGCGAATACACCCCATGTGAGGACCCCAAAAGGTCCTTGAAATTCAGCAGGGAAAGATTGATATACAGGGAAAGGCATTGCCCGGAGAAGAATAAAGTGTTGAAATGTAGGATTCCAGCGCCGTACGGTTACAAGAATCCGTTCAAATGGCCAGTGAGCAGGGATCTTGTCTGGTACGCCAATGTGCCACATAAAGAATTAACGGTCGAAAAAGCGGTGCAGAATTGGATTCGATACGAGGATGACCGGTTCAGATTTCCCGGTGGTGGGACCATGTTCCCTCATGGCGCTGATGCTTATATTGATGATATCGGAAAGTTGATTAATCTGAAAAATGGGTCTATCAGGACCGCCATTGATACTGGCTGTGGGGTATGCTTTCTTTTTCATTCTTGATTCTATTGCCCGGACCTCACCCCAAGATTAAACTCTCTGCTTGGATCCTAATTGTAGAATTTTCTTGATTTTTTCTTTTTCCAATCTTGGTGAAGGATAGTTAATGCAATAAGCTCGAAAAGTCCAGTTATTGCATTTTTCTTTTTCCAATCTAAAATAAGTAATTATTATTCCTCTAATTGAAAACAAGTAGTAAGTTTTGCTTGTTTCTAAATTGAACCGAATATGCTCAGTATTATGAAGTTGATAGTGTTGAATAAGATGAAAGAAGTAAGCCAGTTGTCTAATACTGCGTACCATTTTTGGTTAGATATTGATCCGTATTATTGACAGATTGTCTGAATTATGACAAGAAAATTGGTTGAATACGGCTAATGGGTTATGGGTTGGTGAGGAACAGTACACCAGCTTTCTTGATTGTAGGTCACCAGATCCATGCAGCAAGTCTCCTGGACACATGGCAATGCATGTATCGTCTTTTTGCTCCATAACTTTGATCGAAAAACTGGAATTAGATGCAGGATAATATTGTGATTGAAAAAGATAAAGATTTTCATTGGATCTTTAGACTTGTGTAGGAGAACGACTACTTAAGTTTAAATTTATTAGGAATAAAGCTTGTCATGTTGTTGATACTTAACTGTGTTACGGCGGATTAGCATAAAATAAGGGTGCTAGAATTCAAATCCGGTAAAATTTTAGAAAAGTCTACCACCAATAAATGTGTTATGTTATATACATGCCAAAATGTAGTATGCATTCTAAAAGAAAAGTGTAGAATTGATTCTCTCTGAAGTCATAAGAAACTTGTTAACAGATTGGACTGGTGGGACGGAAGACACTAATTAAAAAAAAAGATACTCCTTTTTCCTATTGGCCCAACAAGAAAGTAGCAAGTTCTTTTAAGAAAAATTTATTAATCAATGGTACTGGTTTGTGTGGTACCATTCAAAAGTAAATCAACTGCATTGCTCTAGGTACCTAGCATTTCTGCTCTTACTTAATTTGTCGTTGTGTATTGCATTTTTAATGTTACAGGTCGCAAGCTGGGGAGCTTATCTTTTGTCACGTAATATTCTTCCAATGTCGTTTGCACCAAGGGATACCCATGAAGCACAGGTGCAATTTGCTTTGGAACGAGGAGTTCCGGCTTTGATCGGCATTATGGCCTCCAAGAGGCTTCCATACCCTTCTAGAGCTTTCGACATGGCTCATTGTTCGCGTTGCCTCATTCCGTGGGGTCAATATGGTAATGCCAAAGCTATAAGATGATTCTGCTGCCTTTTTTAACTGTGTTATCAATACAATTTTAAGTCGGGTTCTATCATAACTCATAAGGATATTTACCATTCTTATACAGTGTAAGTCTGTTAGATTGGGGACACACATGCTAGTGAAAAAAAATTATCTTTAGCATTGATAATTTGGAATTTTGTTATAATTCTCTCCTAGAATTTTGTGGTTGGGTTTTCTGTCAAAACAGATGGTCTGTATTTGATTGAAGTTGATAGAATTTTGAGGCCGGGTGGATACTGGATTCTCTCTGGTCCGCCAATCCAATGGAGGAAACACTGGAAAGGGTGGCGGAGATCGAGGGAGGATTTGAATGCAGAACAAATGCAGATTGAGAATGTAACAAAGAGCCTGTGCTGGAAAAAGTTGGTTGAGAAGGATGACCTTGCTATATGGCAAAAACCAACCAATCATTTGCATTGCAAAAAAGTGCAGAAGAATTATCTGCCGTTGTGCCCTGCCCAAGATCCCGACAAGGCTTGGTTTGTGCTCCTTGACCGGTTACATTGCAATTTTATACACCAGTATACGATGTAGAAACGAGTATCTATTTATGCTTGACCATTCTAACTTTGCAAACTGCTTTAGGTACACAAATTTGGAAACCTGTTTGACTCCCTTGCCTAACGTTTCTAACAATCAAGAGGTTGCCGGTGGGGAACTGAAAAAATGGCCATGGAGATTAAACGCGATGCCGCCTAGGATTAGTTTGGGGACTATAAGTGGAGTCACTGCTGAAACTTTTCGGCAAGATTCAAAACTATGGAAGAGGAGACTGTCCTACTATAAGACCATTAATAACCAACTTGAACAAGTGGGAAGGTATCGGAATCTCCTGGATATGAATGCATTCCTTGGTGGATTTGCTGCAAGTTTGATTAAAGACCCTGTTTGGGTCATGAATATAGTCCCTGTTGAGGCTAAGATCAACACGCTTGGGGTTATCTATGAACGAGGATTGATCGGAACATACCAGAGCTGGTAAAAGTTCCTAATGCTCGATTCAACTTTTAATCATTTATTGAGTTTTCAGTTACAGTGGTTTTATCTGGTTTGTTAAAAATTTCTATAAATGAGTTTGTTGCAGGTGTGAAGCAATGTCTACGTACCCTAGAACGTACGATCTAATTCACGCTGATTCAGTATTCACTCTGTACAAGGATAGGTAATTCCTCTATCTATTCTTGGCTTTTTGGTTGTCAAAATGCGTGAACCAAAAAGCAACTTCTGGTCAAAATAATAGTGAGAGAAGAATAATAATAACAAATTAGGCATTAATCCCAATATATAAATTATTTTTCGTCAGTGCTTTCAGTTCATTGCTAGTATGATGGACTAATTAGATTGCATTATATTATGAATATGTTGCATAACATAATACATATTTTTGGGTTGTTCCTAATGCAGATGTGAAATGGAAGATATTTTGTTAGAAATGGATAGGATTTTACGACCGGAGGGAAGTTTGATTATCCGAGACGATGTAGATATGTTGGTGAAAGTGAAGAGGATTGCAGAAGTACTTAACTGGGATAGCCAGATTGTAGACCATGAAAATGGACCATTAGAGAGGGAAAAGCTTCTGTTTGCAGTGAAATTGTATTGGACAACTCCAGCTTCTGCTAATCAACAAGGATCCAAAACTTCATAGGATCCTTTGTTTTTCCTTATCGTCTTTGTTCTTCTAGTTCCTTTGCTATGTTTTCATATTACAAGATGCAAATGTTTACTCTTACAGATATAGAATGTAAAAAATAAGAACCATTGAAGTTTACTCGATTTACTTAAAAAATAAGATGCAAAGGAAACATTTTTCATCTAACAAACACAAAACTTGTGAGCCAAATTTCAATTAGGTAAGGCATGCAAATGCCCACCACCTGTTACCTATAAATAGAATTGAAAACCCTACAACACAATAATACCTTAAAAAAAAAGACGAGAAAAGCATATAATGGCAGCAATAAAATCTGTATTTTCAATGAATTTCTGCCCAAAATGGCCAGTGGTGGTGCTCATGGCATTGGTTTTGCGGAACTAAATGGCTCAATCTCAGGCACAAACTCATTCAAATTCACTTGCAAATCTGAATATGTGTGCACCATTTGTGGTGCCTGGTGCAGCCACACCAGCCCTTCCCCTGACTGCTGCACTGCATTACAATGCCTGGAACATGACTGCATTTGCGACACTCTCCGCATCGCTGCCCGTCTTCCGGTCCAGTGCAACCTCCCTTCCTTCTGTTGTGGTCTTGTTTCTTGGACGTTTTTATTTTCTTTTAATAATGACAATGTTTATTGATCAGAAATTCAGCATTGCAAAAATGCAATAGACGTCATGGACAATTGTAGTGCCATAAAATAATAAAGAGAATATGTTTATCCATATATGAAAAGAATTAGATAAAATATATGCATATAAACTAAAAATATTATTTAAAAACTGCATAGATTAGAAGTTTAAAAGGTTTTCACACGCTTTAATAATATTAATTAGAATCTAACAATCATATAGTTCTCAATTAATTAACTTTCACATTCATTTCGTTAATATTAATTAGAATTTCACATTCAATAATACAGCTCATTATTTATGTTCATGCTAATTAACATCAAGTTTCACTTAATTGGAAATTAAATTATATTCATTTAATATAAATGATTTAACATTCATTATCACGTATATATATTCCTTCGTATTAATTCTAAATTAATTAACATTCATCTTCATTTATTCATTTAGTTGTAATTCCAATATTCACATTCAAATATGTATTTAACTATTTACGTACATATATAATAATTAATTTTTTTTTCAGGGTTTGCATTTCTCTCATATTTAAATTAAAAGGTTAAATGGATGATCAAATATTATTTTCATAGCACTTACAAAATATTACACAATAACACGTTCAACTCTGACTAATTGAATATAAATCAACCCTAATCCTGATGTAAACACTCACTAACATTAATCTCCCAGTTCCTAATCGCCTCTACCTTCCACCATGTCCGACGACATTTTCGTTGTGTTCCAAACCTCCACTGACGACGCCCCCTTCACCAATCATCACCGTCTTTCTCCACCACTACCTTCTCCACTAAACACTACATTTTAATATTTTTTTTTTCAAATCTAAGTGCTTGTTTGGTAGGGATTTTTGGGGAATAATTGATTTTTGAATAGTGATATGATGGAAAATGTGTGGTTGAAAAAGAAGAAAAAATTATTGATATAATGAAAAATATTATTTTATTGAAGAATATGTAGTTAAAAATGAGAATTGATTTACTGTAGAATTTGAGAATAAAAAACAAACAGACTCTAAATAATTTTAGATTGAAAAACTAGATTCACTGCCACCATCTTCTCTACCAATCGCCACTACATTTTTATATTTGGTTTCAAATTTGAATAAATTAACCTACACCTCATCGAAGAGGTAAATTCAGGCAGCGATTTAATGTTTCCGATTATGCAAGTTACAAATTCGATGATTTAATGCACCAAACAATTTAATGCTCGGCGAATTTGGAAGAAGAGCACTCAATGTCTCTTTATGATTTTATGGTAAGTGATCGAAAGCTAATTTTATGAAAATTGTGGTGCAGAATTTAGGCGGAATCGAATATTCAAATTTCCGGTGATGCCCGAGAACTGATTTGACCGGGGAATCCACAGCGGATCTACCAAGAAAGTAAAGGCCCAATTTCCTCCTTAGACTATGGTTGATCCAAAAGAGAACTTAGCCCAGTCTCAACATGGACCTCATCCCATTAACCTGCTTTTTTGCGTAGGATAGGATCTAATTGTAGTGGTGGATGATGCAATTATGATAGTGGTGGTAATCGAGTTGAGCGGCTCGTTGGCTCGGTCGCTTGACTCGTTTTTTACGAGCGGCTCGTCTAATTTTTTTTATTTTTTTAAAAGAAGGATAGTTTAAAAAAATCAAAAAAGGCGAGCCCGAGTCCAGCGGCTCGGCTCGCTACAGTACGAGCTCATGGGCCGAGCCGAGCTCGCCCACGAGCAACGAGCCGAGCAGAAGCTCGGCTCATTTTATAACGAGCCACGAGCTCGAGCTCGTGGGCAACGAGCCGAGCCGGCTCGGCTCGGCTCGGCTCGTTTGCCACCGTCGGCTCGACTCGTTTGCCACCACTACCCATTTGGCATAGTTTTTGCTTTTTATTTTCTGCAGAAGAGTTTTTTGCCCAGTCTCAACATGGACCTCATCCCATTAACCTGCTTTTTTGTGTAGGATAGGATCTAATTGTAGTGGTGGATGATGCAATTATGATAGTGGTGGCAATCGAGTCGAGCGGCTCGTTGGCTCGGTCGCTCGACTGTAGCGGCCCACGAGCTGCTCGGGCCCGTCAAAAAACAAGCTCGAGCACGAGTCGAGCAGCCCGACTCATTAGGCGAGCCGAGCCTGCTCGACTCGTTTTTTACGAGCGGCTCGTCTAATTTTTTTTAAAGAAGGATAGTTAAAAAAATCAAAAAGGCGAGCCCGAGCCGAGCTGCTTGCTACAGTACGAGCTCGCCCACGAGCAACGAGTCGAGCAGAAGCTCGGCTCGTTTTATAACTAGCCACGAGCTCGAGCTCGAGCTCATGGGCAACGAGCCGAGCCGGCTCGACTCGGCTCGTTTGCCACCACTAAATTATGACAGTAATGAAGTATATTTTTGGGCTGATGGTGGTGCTATGGTAGTTACGGCAGCACAATAGTGCAGTGCAATGGTGGCTGAACGTGAAGGAGATTGCAAATCAATGGTGTTGCTATGGTAGTTGTAACACAATATGTTACTTTTATACAACATAATGTGCGAGTAGGATTTGGAAGATTGTGATGGCGTTGTGTTGGTGGCTTTTTCTATGGTCAAGTGCAATGATAGTGTGATGGCCAAGTAATGCAAGGGAACATGCGCAACACAATACGAATTTTGCAATCGAAAGTAGTGCATTGTAGCACAACATGTTATTCATGCAAGGCATTGTTTTATAGCCTCTCTTTGGTGAGATTAAAATCGGATTTTTAGTAGATTTAATAAAAGTTGATAAAATGTGTTGTTGAAGAAGCATGAATCCCATAAAATGTGTGGTTAAAATTAATTTTTGACTTTGACTTATATTAAATTTTGAATTTGAAGTTTTACCAAACATGATTATAATAAAAAGTAACACGTGGTATTTTAAAGTATTTTGGGGCAATTTTAAGGGAAGTCAGGTCCCAAAAACATTGGTTTGGGAGTCGGTTTTAAAAAATAAATAAAAATTAAAGGGTATTTTACCATTTACCACCACCTGAATTGTTTCGAATAAGTTTTCATGTTGGAATTTCACCCAATTCGATCTGTGCCTAGCCCTAATAGTAATATAACGAGTTACCTGTGTAAAACATTTATTTTATAAGAAAAAGCATGCTACCAGTGTAAAAATGTTGTTTTTAAATGAACAGTTGAAATATTGATTTTAAATGAAAATTCGGTAATATTGAAAAATTATAGTAAGAAGGTTGCCAAAAGGAAAATGTGGCTGGTATATTCTTTTATGACGTTATAGTTGACACGACTTGCGTTAGCAAGTGTTGATTGAGTGAAAAATTGTCAAAAATTTAAACTGTCCGATAAAGTGTTACCACATAACAAAATTTAAGAAATGATGCAAAGTATAATGTACATGTATCATGATTGACAGTAAAATATTGATTTTTGATGGAAATAATGTATTTTGTTCCTAATTATTGCAATTACACCCCCCATCTATTTAAAATCTTAGCAAGGCCACCAACATCTCCATCCCATTAATTGTTAATCCAGAAACTGGACCTCCAAATCGAAGTTGCTTGTGTCGAAAAAATCAAAAGAATAACAGAAACAACACGCATAAAATTCTGGAATAGAGCTGTGAAAAAGTGATACATAAACCAGCCCTTTCAGCCGATTGGAAATCCTATTTTTGGTCAAAATATACTCAGGTATATTTATTTCTCTAAAATTCTTCTGCTGCATTCTGATTTACTGGAATGGTGAAGTTACGGTAAAATTCTAGAATAAGCAAGCTTAATTTTTATTAATGGGCCGTAAAAATTCAGGTGACAGGGTGTTAATTAGAGAAAAGGGACCCTTTTGCGGGTAATGATTGGCTGTTCTATGTGTTGTATGAATTAGTGAAGCTTTGATCGTAATTTGGAAATCTTGCCTTGAATTTCTCCATATCTTCCAAGTGGCATGTGCTGGGGATAAATTCTTCCAATGCAACAAAATCTCTCCTTTTCTACGTTGTCTCCTGGCATCCCATGTAGCTTGGGATTGTGGGTAGATACTTTCTTCCTACGTAATTTGTGGCAAGATAATTCTGTTAATCCTTATCTCCAACCTATTTTATAAGCAGGGAATCATGAAATGATGGATGCAATGTACATTCTGGGGGTAGTTCTAATTTATAAGCCACTATACCAATTTTTGCAGTGATCTTAAAGGGACCGAAGAACTTTGGGGCTAACTTTTGATTTCTTTTTTGAGCAGCAGTTAATTGGCGATAAGGTCTTGGATTTAAATACACAGAATCTCCAACCTGGTATTCCTTATCCAGTTGCTTGGCATCATAAATTTGTTTAATTAGATGTTGTGCTAACTTCAATTTCTCCCTATTTT